CTCCATTATCTCTTGACATCTGGGCCCGAGCAGCGGGGCGTGCGTGATTGCGGCGACGCTCCGAGCTCCACGTTTTCCCTTGGGTCGGGTGGCCATGTCGCCCAAGCGCAGTGCCAAGGACACAGAACACGAGTGTGTGAAGAGAAGAAGCAAAAAAACAACACCTCTTCGTCTAATTATAGCGTATGTCAAAATGGACCGTTGAACATAAATAAAAGTCAGTCATTTCCATTCTCCATTTTTTTTTCTTTTTTTTGAACTTGGTTGCTGGTTTTTTTTTTTTTTTTTTTTTTTTTTTGGGCACCGTGCATCATGGCTGAATTTTCAGCATTGATGGAGCAAATGAAGCAAATGCAGCTCCAAAGCACAAGCGAGGAAGAACATCGCCACATCCAAGCTCAGATCCAAGCTCTCATTGAGCTTGAGCAGCAGAGGCTGACTGCGGAAGCCGAGGAGCGCAAGCTTGAGCAGCAGAGGCTGGACGCTGAAGCCGAGGAGCGCAAGTCGAGGAGCGCAAGCTAGCAGCCGCAGCCGAGGAAAAAGCAGCAGCACAGCTCAAGCTCAAACGGAAAACAAGTCGCGACAAGGTTCGTCGTGTTTCGTCTCGATTCGTTACAACAGACAAGGCCTGCTGCCTCTGATGCTCACGTGGTCCGGTTGACAGATTAGAGTCTTGAAGGGCATGTTCACCCTTGCGCTGCAATACGAAAAGGCTTTATGGAACAAGTTGATGGCAATGGATGATGATGATTTTGAAGCATTTGTCGACGAAGTCAACAACATGCCCTCTGCCGAGAGGATGAACGAATTGTACCCCCTGGAAGGTGTGTTCGTCGTTGCCTGGCCCCACATTACGCCTGCACTTGGTCATTACTGTACCCCCGCGCGCCTACTACAATCGTTAAGCACCTGTCGGGCAAGTCTCACGCGCAGGATCGTCTTTTGGTTTACATGCGTGTGCAGGCTTCACATGGACACTGCTACCACCGTCCGAGTCACGTGGCCAGATGCCTTCAAAGGCGCCCTCACAAACCTTGTCTCTGACCGCTGCAAACGAACTCCTTGGCACCGTGGTCGCAGAGCTTCCCTGCAGCCACCACTACCTTGCAGCGAAAATTGCCAAGCGCATTGATGAGCTTTGCGCGGATGGCCAGTGGAAGAGCAGCGAGGCGCTAATGGAAGGTCTTCGGTGGGCGGTCAAAGCTCAACGCGACTCCCAGATGACTGAACTCCAGCAGGAGCCCAGCATTTCTTCGCGAGTTTCCATTGTGTTGCAG